TTTTAACTGTTGAAGATTAGTCCGCCCCCTGGGTCACAGCTGTGTTTAAATGCCGTACCCAAGTGTCGGATTTGAGTGGATCTCAAATTTACCATGAGTATCAAATTTGCCGTAAAACGGCAAATACAATTAGTCGTTAGGTATATGAATTGAGATAGTTAGTTGTAAAGAATCTAACCGTAAAAAGTTTCCTTTGAACCGTATTAGAAAGAAATTAAGCATTAGACTTGATTTGGCCCAGATTTATTATCGCCAGTCGTTATCCTCTAGAGTTATCTTTGTGACCCTCTTCTCCACGTATCAACGCCTAAAATTACAGCGATGCCCGGAACAGATGATTGCGATCGCTGAGAGGAGTGTTAAGAATTGGTGCTCGGGCTAAAATCAGTGATATTTCGGCCTCGACATTGGTATTGCCGATAGACTTTAGGTGTTAAGAAAAGACTTTGCGGCACGAAAATAGCTGAGGTATCAAAAGCATCACCTTTTTCTCGACTTTGTTTTTTATCCGACTGAATTTAGCATATTTCGAGTTAATTTAAGCCATTTGAGAATCATGGGTTGGTTCGTAATCTGATGCCTGCAACTGGTGAAACTGATGTAGATCATCTTGTTTTTTTTTATTCTGGCATTGTCTACACTAGAAGGCAAAAGTTCCATTTACTTACCTGTACCAACTTTGTTTGTGAACACAGAGCCATTTTCTTCTTCGGTTGTTTTTGCTGATTGATCTTGTTCCTCTAATTCCATTGGGAACCGGTTTTCCTCATGATTGTCGTCTGTGGAGATTACACAAAGTAGCCAAATCAAAGAGATCCATTCATAATGTTCTTCCTTACTATTTTGTAGTCATTCGCCGAGCCACCTTCACTGACGTGAGCCTAAAGAGTGCTCAAAGTTCTTGTAGATACAGAAATGGTCAATGTTCAATGGTGGACCCTCCGTCCTTTTTTAATTTAAGGTGGCGGCGCACGTGTTGATTTGTTCAGGCGAAAAGTGACGTCGATGTAAAGGCTGAAAAATCTCAAAGCTTCTAACATCCAACCTCAAAATGCTAATCGCGGTTTGACGTTTGCGCTTAACACATAAAACGGGGATCTAAATCTCTCTTTTGCTAACTTTTCACCTCCGAGGGACTCGCGCGGGATTTGGGCCTGAAAATATCGTTATCGTTGCCGGAAAGATGAGTTAAAATCATCTCTTTGTGCTGTATTGTATCGCTGTTTTAGTATATACTAATTAACGACTATTCAGCCACTTCAAAATTCACAGACAGTAAATTGGTAAACCGAATGAGATAGAGATAATTAAAAAAACACACACACAAAATACGGCTGAAGACAAAGGTGCTTTTCCATTATTGTAGCTTGAGGTTCAACACGCCTTATCGAAAAATCTGGCGATCACGATCAAGTTGGCTTTGGGTCACGGATGAACTTAATTTTCGTGCCCACGTGATGAGAGAAAACCGAGACTATTACGCCTAATACGGGGTCTGCTTATACTAGTTTCTATATTGTGCAATAATTAATTCAGTTATATGTAACTGATTTGTACAGCTTAAAACAATTCCACTTTTTTTTAAAATATGTTGTGCTAAGTCTTTGCGCTGCATAAGTTGACGTTGCAATCCAAAATTCAAAACTTGGCACTTTGCGTAGAACTTCTTATCTCCCTGAAGTCCCATCATTTAAAAACCCCGCATATCTCGAACCGTTTGAGACAGCGTGCACCAAAATGACTTATTGCAGTATAATCCCGAATTTGGCTAAAATAACTAAAATAATAACAGTTAGAAAGGTTTATCTCTTTTACTTACTGGACGGATTTTTGACTGCATCAGCAAGCTCGAGAATATGACTTGATTGTAAGTGTTCTTCATTAACGCTGAAATCTTTAGACAATCTAAGTATAAAAGTCAAATTATGACTTAGTATTACCAACAAGCGACTCAACAGACAAATCTCGGTTGAATTCACTTCCCAGTTAATGCTGAAAATGAAAAGAAATTGTTCATACTGGAAACTCTGCGCAAAATTTTAACTCAAAAAGGCTGGTTTTTTATTCATAGCCGATGCCTGGGCGTTCTTCTCTTGTTGTCTGAGTAACTTATGATGCTTGTATTTTGGGGTTCGTCCACGATTTTCTATCAACTGCGCTTATGAAAAATGATGTTCCCATTAATTTTCTTGTTGCGATTCAATACACCCACATATAAAAAGTATGAATTACAGCGTAAATGACAAACCAGTCGGAAATAAAGTTGCATGAAGTTCAAGTTAACACCAAACAATTCTTGGGGTCAATCAGTTCACCTTCGTGAAGAGGTGAAAAAGTCACGAGTTTTTCTGTTAAGACTATCAACCAACCTGCAGTGACACGAGCTTCGGATCTAATCAACCGGCCATTTCCAATCCAAACTGTCATGTAATTACAGTGGTATGTTTGAAAGTCTCAAATGTAAATGGAACCACCTTTACATTCAAGATCAACAGTTTGAGAAGTTATTCTTCCATTGCCTTAAAAAGTGTCTCTAAAGAATTGTAATCCTAACAGAAATTCGAATCACGCTTCTGTATCAAAAGCGTTAAAATCAAACATCGGAGAAAAGCAATCTTCTCAATTTCCTGAGCTACTACAACTGTACCTAAAGTTGCCGGCAGATATCATTAAATGGTAAAATTCTATGAAGCAAGGCAATTGTCAAGGTCTCAAAGATACATGCAGTTAAATGTGCACTTTGTAATAGTAGTAGGTGCGAAAGGGACTTGCAAATTGAGCCCCTCTTTGCTTTAATGAAAATCACGCTTAGTCTCATTGCCTTCTCTGAGATTTTTGACAGAGAAAGCTTTTATCACCCCATCATATTATCATTGGCTGCATTTTCAATACTTTAGAATAAAAATGGGCATTTATGGAAATACACACGGTACCTTTCACTTATGGACTCAAGGTAATGCGCGGTATCTTCGTGGCCAAAAGCTCTTGCAACATTCTCTGGTAACGGAGTAGTACTCCTGTATGCATTAAAGACCACTCTTCCAGCTGACGAATTGAATACTAATGCAATGAACTGTCGAGCATCAGTTTCCGCTGCTGTATACACCAGCAGCAGTAAGCCTTGAAGTGAATATAAAGGATTCCCTGAATCCATGGACCCTATGAAAGGAATTTTGATTTAAGACTTTTGATGCAAAGTGATGGTAAAACGTTATTCAGACAATTCGCTTCCGATCATTAGACGATTTGCTACCGATCTAACGATGAATATGGATTCCATCCACCTTATGGCTCGTGTGTTGTTGTAGCGAAGACATTTTCGCTCGTCTTGCCCTTAAATAAATTAGTGTCGTTTTGCCGTACTTTTCCAACAGAACCTAAAGAGACTTGCTGGGTTCACAAAAACAGCTGTAAAAGAGCGCTTTCATTACAGGTAACTTAATGGTTAGCACTGGACCAGGTTTCATTGCTGAAATATGTTATGCAATTTATGTAATTGACCACGTGAGCGTAAGCGCTGGCCTCGTCTTTACTTCTTGAATAGCTTCCTTCCTATTTCACCTAATTATAACTTTCTACGTATAACAATGTATCTGGTACCTCTCGTTTGTTTCACATTCATTTACGTGTTATAGCTCAATACGTCGATAGAGAGGCGAAGTGCCTTGGGAGGGAATAGTATTTCATTTGATATGATGAATTCTACTAGGCCATAAATTCGCCCGGAGTTAAAGCCCAGAAACGAACCCCGCAGCCATTCAGTGCAACTCCAAGCGGAAAGAAACTCGGTCCGTAACGAACAATACAGCCCTCGAACTCGGTTATTAAGAGGTGTATTCATAGGGAACCTATTTATGGCCACATGCATCTCGCCAAAGAACCAGCACACACACTATGGATTCCAATAGTCCTCTACGTAAGTCTTCCAAGCGTTTTTGCCAAAAAAATAAGGAACGATGTCAAGCTGTCTCTTTTGCTTACCGGAACAAGGGGATTTCGTCTCTTTTTCTTTGCTATCAGTGGAGTGTCCTTCACAAGCAGTCTTCCATTCTTCAAAAAAGGCGCTACTCTGTTTTCTCTCCGCGACTATTCGCTTGAGTGCCTTCTTATCTTCATCATAATAGTAAATTTTTGTTTGCCCAAGATCACTGGATTTGCCGGTCTTGTCACTTTTTCCACTCACTTCTACAATGACCCAACCTTCTTTATCAGTAGCTGTAAAATTCAGAACGCACGTCTAGACAATTTATACTAATGTGCAAAAAAAGGCTATTGTCGATGTTATGACTATCATTTCATTCAAAGCCAGTTCACAGCATTGAAAGCAAACTAACGAAATGTGGGTTTTCAAAATAGAACCCCGTGTCGATCAAATTTTCGTCTTGTGTAAGTCTCAGATACCAAAGATCTACATAACATCCTCCAGGTCTCATGAAATGGGTGGTCTCAAAATTTTTCAAGTCCTTGTAATCTGTGGGCTAGTTTCAGATACACCTTTTTAAGTCAAGAATTCACTTCTCTACGAGCCACATGGGGACCAGCTGTGTCGGTATCAAATCTAAAAAACAGCGATCTCGCACCGCTGATACAATAACGGGGCTAGTTGAGTAACTGGCCTTAAATAAGGAAGGCTCACTTAGATTTAGATGTTCAATAGATGAAGTATATGCCTACGTAATGCTAACATTTCTGAGCTAGCCCTCCAATCTTCTTCATTTTTCATCAAGCTTAAATATCAAGAGCATCTGACACTTGATTAAAATCAAAGCAACTCTACTTACCAGGAATTCCTCTTCCAACAAGAACGTTTGTTTTTTTTTCAAGTTTATACACATCAATAGAGCCCAGACTAGCAAACCCAGCAGTTCCAGAAGTAAAGTCTGAGGGTAGGTCAGGTTTAAAAGTAAACCAGCAAGGTCCTCCACCCTGTTTGGGAAGAACTAAAAAATCACCTTCACATTTCAAGAACATATCTAGTATACCTTGGCGATTACCATTATTACCAAAGCATAACCAATGTTTCTTTGACAATCCCCCCCTCCCCCCCCCCAAAAAAAAATATATATATATAATCATTTGTTCACAACCACTTACCCATCTGATCGCTTTGAAAAACACTTACATACCCCTTCATTCTAAAAACTGCGGGGAACAAATACGTATACTAATTACCATAAAAAGTAGTAGACTAAACAACCAAAATATGATAGACATAACACTCAATGCCATTTAGTTCTCTTGCCTTCCGGCAAGGCCCAAAAGAGCTCAAACTGGAATCTTTCCTCGCCACCTATAAGGGAACATAACCCTTAGTGACAGACAAAGATCCCATATAATATTATTGTGTAGCTTTTACATTTTCCGTAAGCTACACAAAAACAGTCTGCTTAATCTACCTGATGTTATCATAATACATTAAATTTTCTGCATGTAGTCTGGTTTGAATGAGAAGATAATGGTGCAATATATTTAACAAATTAAATTAAAGTAATTCTTTGACAGTTAGTATGGAAACGACGTTACCCTCTGCTCAATGATTCCTTTACTCTGAACTAGTTTTCAAGGAACGTTTTTCTCTGACACATTTAGGTTTATGGAGATTACGGAATGAAAACAGTTTTGTGTAGGTTTATTGGTTTATAATCCCTTTATGCATGTGGATTCGGTACCGTTGGAAACCGGTCACGAAGTAAGTTTGTTTGCTATTTCTGTCACTTGATCTACTGCTCCGTACTACTTACTCGTATAGAGAACCGGGGTGATTTACTATGTGGCTTTTGCTATTATTCATGCTCTGATAGCTATTAGTTTAAATGGAAGCTTTTAGATCGTTCAAGCGCTGTTTTTTGTTTTACGATGTGTAATGTAACGTTTTAATTTCAGAATGAATAAAAGAAAGAATCTAAGTATCATTCATCCTCGGAGACCCAGGGGCTGTGAGTGGATTTCAAGTTAAGGGCAGAAGAGCCCCTGGGGACATTGTCTTACAAGACTAGTTCCAAACGGTCGAACTCGTTCTGGCATCTGATTTC